CTTCTCCTAAGGGTGGTTACTGGCAGTGAGCACTTTCACCTGACATATGGTGGTATTTCTGTCCCCACCCCTTTGGCCTTTTGCCCTAATCACCACTGGAAGACAGGACCTCAGAGCTTCTCCAAACTAGATTGCGGCCCTCAGGCTGAAAGAATTCTAACACCTGGGCTTTAGGTCCTCTCCTTAAGCAACCAGAGGCCAATTCCCCCATCAAGCTGCATGCAAGTTAACTCACAAGCCTGTCAATGAAGGCTTGAAAAGCAGAAGCCTGCAACTGACTCAGATAAGTCTGAATTCCTTAGAAACTGTGAATTCCACAGAAGACCAGCTATTCCCCAGTTGCATGGATTCTGCAGACATTTATTTTATGCAAATGGGTGCAAATTTAAGCATAGAAAATATATATAAAGAACACCAACCAAAATGCACATTTTCCATATAGTATGAAAATATGCATTTTGGAAGAATTTACATATTTTGGGGAGTGCAATTTCAGGAATTCTGAATTTGCAGAAACACAGATAAATGCATTTTGCACAAAAAGCAATTCCATCAATGTGCTGATGGAACAAAAAACACCTGACAATCTATAACACACAGATGGCATAGACTTTACAAGAACTCTACATCCCTATTGAAAAACAGTTATCTCTGTGAAACTTAGCTAGAAACTGGAAACTTAAAGGCTGCTCAGAAATTTGGCCCAGGTAGACTCAGTCTTCAGACCATGCCATGAACTCAGGTTTCAGCTCTTCTTCTCTTTCCACCTCACATCTTCTCAGGTTGGCTTCTTTGTGACTGGTCATCTTCCTGGCTAATGTTTTCCTCAGGTTTTGTCAGCCTGTCAATGCAGATTATAAGCTGGGAGGTGGCAGTTACCTCACAACACAGGCTTAGGGCTCCCAGAGAGGAGAAGCCTTTGCTGCAACCATATTTCGCAAAAACTGGAAGAAGCCTCAATTAATTCAAGTATCACTTGATCAAATACAGGAAGTGTTGGTCTAAGATTGACTCACAAAGCAAGACCTGAACTTGAAATCGGCTGATTCCCTAGAAAGACTGCTATTCATCCAAATTACATTGATTCTACCAAATTGTCCCAGACACAGTCTGATGGGATTTAAATGGTTTCTTTACAATAATCCTTGCTTAGTTATGGATTCTGCTATGCTTTCTGTTTTATTATTGTAGTTACTTTTGTTCATGATTACTTTTAATTTTGTCTTCCTGTGGCAGTAATTAGAGTTGTTTATTTTTCTTTCTGGTTCATTAAGAACTGATGAGTTTTACTTGTTTTTTGTTTCCTGTAAACATTGCCCAAAGATTTCAAAGGACTTGAAGGTTTAAAACAAAAACAAAAACCTGAAGTCTTGTTCCTTCCATAGAGGAGCAAAGAGGCAAACAGTTTAAAACCACTGTACCACAGATACACTGAGAAGATCTGAAGCCATCTCCTATTGACATGCTTGCTTCTTCAACCCAAAGTGCTGTGAAATGGCTTCTCTTCTAACTGAATGACGTTCAACCTTCTTTTCCAAGAAGGGCAATGCCACATTCAGCTGATAATAGTATCTGCATCAAGAGACAACCACACTATCTTTTCTGAACAGTGTTTTTAGGGAAAGAATGTCTCTGTATCTAGTGCAATGTGAGCTGTTTTTACAAGAAACATATAACAAGGTTGAGTTGTATTATTCCTATGCCATCTATTAAATTTATTATTCTTGCAACTGATTATTGGTTTTTAATAATTGGTTGTCAGCCACTGGGCAGCTTTGATCTGGCAGCTTGCTTGCTTGCTTTTTTTGGCCAAACTCTGCTTACAGTCTTTAAAACAAAAGAGCAGAACAACCCAGTTCCAGAAGTTGTTATGGATGGATAATCCCCTTGCTTTACTTAGCCATTCAGTATGAAAGATGTAGTCTACCAGAACCATCAGTTAAATGGCCAGAAAGTAATGCTTGTTTTCTTTGCTTCATGAGCAGCTTTGTATCAATATATACTTTGGTTTCATGAAGGAAAACTCATGATTGTGCTTAAATCACAAGCAAGCTGAGATCTCTACAGGAATCAAGTAATAATCTGCTACTTTGAGATTACAAAACAAATTTACTGTGTTTAACTTACATGCCAAAGCACTTTGGATTATTGAACTCCGTTACTCTGAACCTTGCCAGTCAAACCCTGTACCAACTGAGGTAAGAGAAATATCTTATGTATAGCACCTGCCAAGATTTCCAGCAACACAAGCCTGTAAGCCTGCATCTTTGCATAAATGATTCTATAATGCATTCACATGAGGTGCCAGCAAGAAGCCCTGCATAATTTTAACTATGCTTAACATGGTTGATTGCTTTTATTTATAAAGGTGTAGTCAATTGCTCAGAATAAGTGCTTCTGGATGCTCTTTAGCAACAAAGCCACACTTCCATCTTTTCAACCTAATACATATTTTCCTTGGCCTTGAAAGGTATTCATGTTTTGGCAACTAGCAAATACCCAGCCTTCACCCCATTCCCAATTCAAAAACCAGAACCCATGGTGAGACAGAAACAGAACAGACAGCACAGAAGTATTATATACTTTTCAAATCTCTGTAGCTTCTGCCTGTATGCCTCCTATATTAAATGCATGACATTTTTCACTCCAGAGACATGAAAGACAGAGTGACATGCACCTTGTCTCTCCAAATTACCTGTTTGATAAGTGTTTAGAGACAAAAACTATAGTAACAATGTTGACAATATATCATTACACCACCTGAAAAAGAAGGTCTTTTTTTTTTTTTTTTTTTTTTGCATTTCAGATAAGAGTATCACATTAAAAGTCACGTTTTGGGTTTTGGTTTGTTTAAAAAAAATATGGAGTTTTGGCAAGAGATGTTGCTGCAACAATTTTGTCAGTTATTAATAAGTAGGATGATCATCTTCTTACAGAAAGTAAACAGTATCTCCCCTTCACTTAAACATGACCAATTTAAGGAAAAAGTGGTGAGCAAAACCATGTATTTCTGCACATATAAAAGACATCAAGAAGTCAGCACTCAAAACAAACAGAAATGGTGGCAAAATAAGCTTTCAATTCTCCTGTTCTCATTGGTATGGTATACCATGTGTTCCTTAAGGAATAAATCTGTTAAAAGAGCCTCAATCCACTATTCTGCTATTGGTGAAGACCATGCCTTTCAAGCATTGTGCTTTTTCCAAGAGTGACTAGCAATCTGAAGCACAGCACCCTCAAGCATCCACATTATTGGAAGCACTTAACCCCAGAAGATAAGAGTAAATTAATTCTGCCAACATTCCTCCAGAAGGACTTTCTGATAGAGCATCCCCCATAAGCCAGGTTCATCTGCAACCTGCTCTAACATCAACTCCCATCAGGCAGTAACCATTACCTGATGTCTTTCAAAGCATAAATCATCAGTCATGAGTCAGTCTTGACCATTATGTTACAGGGGCAAGGGGGATATTGCTGCCATTTCCCCACAGCTTAATTCCACACTACTCCAATGATGCCAGGAGAGAGGAAGAAGCAGAGCACTGACTGAGCCATAAGTGTACAGACATCCCTGAAGCAATGTGAGACTGAGCCACTGAGAATACAGATACAATGCTACATTCTGGTTAACTTGGACCTTAACTGCCCCATCTTCATTAGCCCTTCCTCATTATGGTAGAAAGGTACAAACTACAAGCTATGCAAATGTGGACTGCTGTAACTGAAGAGTAAATAGCAGTAAACCACCCCATGTTAACTGCACACTTCCATGAACAGTTTTGGAAGTCCCTTCATAACAATAGTTATTTTCCCTGTGCAGTAACTGGAAGTTGCCATTTCAGTGATAGGTTTTGACTGCTTGTGCTTCTTTCTCTCTTGAAAGTCACACCAGTTTCTCCCATTCTTCTCTTATTATCTCCTCCCTAAAGATCTATTTTCCACAAAACTGCAAACATTTATTTTATTTATTTTTCGATTTATATCTTGCCTTTTTCCTACAAAGGGCTCAAGGCAGCTTACATCATTCCCCTCCTCCATCTTATCCCCACAACAACAACCCTGTGAGGTAGGTTGGGCTGAGAGTCTGTGACTGGCCCAAAGTCACCCAGTTGGCTCCATGGCTGAGCGGGGACTAGAACCCAGATCGTCTGAGTCCCAGTCCCATGCACTTAACCACTTCACCACACCACACTCACATCCAAGATGCCCATCTGGCTGCTTCTTCAACGGGACGTTTGCTATCCTCACAACAACATTGCTTGTATATGAAGGTTTGATTTGCTGTCTGCTGGATTTTTGTCATGCACTATATGAATACTGAATAAGACTCCATGTGAATAGATGCTACCATATATCAAATACGACACTGGCTCGTCTACTCGACTTGCAGTTCTCTCTAGAGCTTCAGTGTGCGGTCTTTCTCGGCCCTCCCTAGAGATGGCAGGGATTGCGTTGGGACCTTCTGCATGCAACACATGTATTCAGTCACTGAGTTATGACCCTTCACCTCAGTTTGGGCCACAGTACCATGTAAAAGCATATTCCATATAAAACAGCTTCTTAAATGCTACAAGCACCACCTCCTGCCTCCAAGGATACCTATAATAAATGAAAAATGTTAATGATGGCCACAGTACATTATATAGGATGTGTTCTTTTGGCCCATGAACACAAACTCCTCTAATTACAACTGAGATTAATCCCAATCTCTCCTTCACAAATACAATTTTCTGAAATTCAATTATTCCCATATTTAAAGAATCCATCTATCTGAAATGGACACTCTTTTAGTAATAGTCATTTGGAGTTAGTCAAATAGCTGCATATAAATATGCACATATACATATTTTACACTGAAAAAAGAGTAAAGAGCATCATTGTATTTAATTTTATCTGATGTATCCTTGATATTTGTTTTAAACTGGTGTCATCTGATTCATGAAAAATAGGATTTTCTTGTTCTGAGCTGAAATCACTGCAACAGCACTCTCACTACTTACCTTTAAACTTGGATCGAATGTTTGCCAGTTCTTTGTTTATTCGCTTTATTTCAGCTTCTTTACTTTTACCTGAAAACACAGAAAGAGCCTAGTTCAGAGTACAGTACCTTAAACAGCTCCTCCTTTAGACCAGCTGTGACAGAATTAAGTTGCCATAACCTGCTGATGAACAGTCACAGCTTACAAATAATGTCACCAATCAACCTCCACTATAATATATGATGCAAAGCATTGGCTGCCATCAGCTGACAAAGAAAAATTAAATGTTATGCTCAAAGTTCAAAGTCACAAAGTCTCAGTTTGCAATCATATACCAAATTAAAAAAAGTCAGTATGCAGGTATAACAGATGAGAACTATGCTGTCCACAATGGCAAGCATAGCTGGGACTATTTAATTTCCCATCTGACAGAACATCTCTGGAGATCCAAATCATTCCCTTGGCAGCATAAAATGTGCTGTGCAAAGTCAACATGTTGACCAATGCCAGCCACACTCAAGACAGAAATAGCACTTATAAGCTGCATTCATCGAGAACTGAGAAAAATGGTACTTCAAGCTTTGAGGGCAGGGTTGTAGCCTAGCCACAGGTACTCATGCTTTGGAAATGTCTAGGTCTACTGCCGGATGGTACATGGGACTGCCCTTGCAGGCTGTTCAGAAACTGGCAGTTGTACTTGGAACGATAAACTATGATCAGTCAGTGAGGATGTATCCTGCTAGTACTGAACAAATGCCACTTCATCCCAGTATCCAGGCACATTCCAAGTGTTGCTTAGCTTTAGAGTCCTATATAGCTTACAGCCCAGATTCCCAAAGGAATGTTCAGTCCCTTATCAACCAATCCATGTCCTGACATGGTCTCCAGCAGCATCTGTGGAATTCCTTCCCTAGGGAGGGCCACCTGGTGTTAAAGCTGTGATTTTAAAGGTATTTTTCCATTTGAGTGCATTTTACGTATTTTATCTTGTTTTCATAAGCCACTATCAAGGTGCAGCTGAAGGAAGGTGTATATATAGTTATCAATGCACAGATAGAGATAATGAAAGGATCTGTACACTGAAGCTTTAAATTAGACAGGGCCTAATGTACTGTAGTGATTTAAAGCACAGTAAATTGGACTAGTAGTTCCTCTTCATCCCTGCCATTTTGATAATACAGACTTCTGTTAGCAGGTTGTGGAAAGGATTACTGAGAATGTACAATAAGCTTTTTGAGTTTCCAGGAAAATGGAAAAAACACCAAGCATGATTGGTTTGCATGCTTTTTCCAAGATGATGACTGCTGTGATATGCAAGCATCATCAAAAAACCGAGGACTACATTCAATAGTGGATTTGCACAGGCTGGAAACACTCCAATTTGCAACATTCAGGTTCTCTGCATTGTACCAATGACTCCTGCAGACTGTGCCCCTGACACCCTCCCCACAAAAAGCTGCTATGGAAAGGTGGCAGATTCCCTAAAACAGTGTTGCTGGTACTACAGATGACTGCAGAGAAATGACACAGATTGCTGTGAAGCAGTATCCCATCTTTGAATGGAAGCATTTTCTGCTACCTCAAAACTACCATTGGATACAGCCCAAAGTTTGCTTTCCTTTAGAACTATTTTTCCCTGATGTGGAGATTTACTTGGTTAATCAGCTAGAACTCATACAAATAATTTCAATTAAATATTCTTCAATTAGTTACCAGACCCACCCAATATACACAAAACCTAAAAACCAAATGTGATTGCTACTTCGGGACTAATGGAATTAATGCGTGGATAATTGGGCAGGCTAAAAATCCAACAGGATAAACAAACAAACAAACAAATAAATTTGCCTGAACAGTTTTAGTAGTTTGTCCCCATTTGCCCACATTACCAGAAAAAAAGAAGCCAAAATGCTTACACCAATAACAGTTATTTTCCACTCCAGACTGGAACACTGACCTTCAAACCGTGAATTCTTCTGAACAACGGAAGGCTTGTGCACTTCCTTTGAAAGGTCGCTTGGATAGATAGGAACATCCAGCGACCCTCTTTTTACAAAGTTTCCAGAATTGGCTGAGTGAGATGTACAGCAAGAGGCAGCATTGTATCCATGTTTTGCAATGTTAACAAAACAACTCCTTGTAAGCCTCTTTGCAATGATTAAAGTAACTGAACATGCAACCGAAGCCACAGCCTTGTTTTTGTGCATTTATAGTGGAAGCCTAGTGTAGCGTGGGATATGTTCTTGGTTTTTGTCAATCCCAAGCAAGAGACATTACCCCACAGCAATTTTAGGATCGTGGGTAGGGCTTCGTTGACCATGCCAACAATTCAACCCACTGGGCCTATGCAGCACAAGAAACTGTGCTGCCAAGGTAATTATGAAACTCATAACTGACTAGCACAGACAGGACCTGACTGTGGCTTCTTAAAGCTGCAGGTAGGAGCCATGGGCCAAACCAGACTCCATGAGTGGCCCTCTTCACTGCAGAACAGAGTTTAGCTGGCACTCGGCCTTCTACTGGGAAGGATGCTGGCATGGGCTGCCCCTTCTCTTTTTCATTCCCGCCGGACATTACCGGTTCATTTTGTGAGCTCTCAAATGTATGAAGAATGGCTGGTATGTAACTGTATATAGCTGGACACCATTTCAAAGGATTCTTAGTCAATCTTTAAATTATTGGCTGACAAGTCACAAGTGATGTTTTGGCAAGCCATGTACCTTCCACAATTAGAGTATTATTTATTTGGACAGTATAAAAGACGGTTCAGACTCTCTAAAAAATGGATATAAGAATGTCTGGATGCAGTATATAACCATTAGGGTCATTACTCATTGCTGATTCATCTCAGCCTGTAAGCAGTGACCCCTGCTGGTAATTGGGTTGAGGCCAATACAAGGCCCATCCAATGGGGAGTGGCCACATGCACAGTTTCACTTAGTAGTGGTAAGTAGCCAAGCTGTTATATTCTGCTTTTGAGAACTACCTTCATGGGAAATAGTTTGCGAAAAGGATTCTTTACTGGCATCCCAACCCATTTTCAGTCTCTTTGGAATCTGTAATGTGGCAAAAGCCGTTTTTTACATGCAGAACACATGCACACAAATACATGAGGCATCCAAACAAGCTACAGTTGTAGAAATAAGTAAGTCCAAGCGCTTCCTTCACATTCATAAAGGAAAGCCCAAGTGATAACTCTGACTGTGTTATTAAAGCCTAATTTGTTAATTCTAGAAGCTGCATCCTCAAATGTCTGAACAACAAGACATTCCCTCATGCCTTTGTGGTTCATTGTGCGTTGTTTGTTTTCGACTGCAGAGGATTATCTTTGGGATGTGCTCCCTGCAGATTACTCCACCACAGAGCTTCCTCTGTTTGTCACAGATGGTCAGTCTCTTTTTAAAAACAAGCTAATAGGTGTGGAGAAATTCATGACGACCACTCAGTTTGGCTGAAATGCAGTTTTCAAAACCACACACACTGCTGTATAGAAGCTACCATGTTTACAGGGGAGGATGCTTTTCTCTCTTTTTTAAAAAAGGCACTTGCTTTTTTGCATGATTAACTTCAAATGATATGTTCAACCAAGCCTTGGACAGGAAAGTACTATTTTTAAGACAAAACACCTCCTGGCAAAGTAAAGGCCATCCAAACCACTCATCTCTAGTATCGTTCTGGGTTAGTCAAACACTATGATGATCCAGAATACAGACATCTGTTTAATATAAACTCTACCTGCCTGGGCTGTATAAATATGAACTTTTTTGACAACCATCTCTCTCTTTTAATTATAGTGAACAACTACCACCAGTCATAGTTCTAATAGTTGTATGCAAACATGGCTAAACCCATAAAAAGCGGCAGAATGTGCTGGTCACAAAGGCAGGTCAGCTCTTTGGTACCCCCCATTCAGAATTGAAAGGCGGCAGCTGAACTGTAAGAATCCAGGCCAAGACAAATAACTGGATGAAAAGAGTTAAGTCACTTCAGTAGATGTAACAACCTAGCAGGATAAAGGGGTGCCCAATGAAATGGTTTCTCAATAGGAATGTTTATTTTGGCTGTCCTACAGACCAGGTCAAGGGTAGCATCCAATGAAACAAGATCAAAGGAAAGAGACACAATGTTTGCACAACATGCCAGCCCATTACAGACAGTTGATTACGATGGGTTGTTCTGTCATGTTGACTTTAAAAAATTTCCCTCAGGGTGACATTTTTCAGCAACAAGCTACCTTGACAACCCATAGCTTGTTCTGGGGTTTGTTTGATTTATGAGGAGTTAGTATAACATCCAAACCCTTGGTCATCGGTTGCAAGGATCAGCTAACAAGCCACTTGGCAAGAGTGGTAAACCTCTGAGACTCTTTGTGATCTCATCCTTGCCACCACCAGTGACAACCCTTGCACTGATGCCCAAACGGCACTCTGCAACAACCATCACCAGTTCACCGCCATTTTAAAAATAAATGTTATGCCCCAGAAAACTGTGCAAATGAGTTTGCTATTGCTGCTGCTCCTGCTATCGTTAGTCTTTCACAAGTGCACCCTTATTATTGCAGGGAGAAATACTGGGGAGTGCGTCCCTGTTAGTTCTCCTGGACCTCTCAGTGCCTTTCGATACCATCGACCATGGAATCCTTCTGAATAGGCTAGCGGGATTGGGAGTTGGAGGCACTGCGTGGCGGTGGTTCTGCTCCTATCTCACTGGCCGATTTCAGAAGGTGGTGCTGGGGGACTATGGCTCTGCGCCATGGCAGTTATGCCATGGAGTTCCGCAGGGATCCATTCTGTCCCCTTTGCTATTTAACATCTACATGAAACTGCTCGGAGAGGTCATCAGGAGGTGTGGGCTGCGGAATCATCAGTATGCTGATGATACCCAGCTCTACCTCTCGTTTTTCACCAATCCAGGTGAGGTAGTGGCTGTGCTGAATTGGTGCCTGGCCAAGGTAATGGGCTGGATGAGGGCCAATAAACTGAAGCTCAATCCAGACAAGATGGAGGTCCTGTTGGTGGGTGGCTCGGGCCTCGGAATGGGGGACTTGGGCCTTGGCCTAAATGGGGTTGCACTCCCTCTGAGGGACAGGG